CGGTTGTATTAACACGTTACTTACACTGAACATTGACAGCGACGGAAACACTGCCGATGCCGTTTTCATTGTTCCAAAAAGTATTACTCGCTTCACATGAGTAATTTCCGTCTTGATCACGTGTTACATTAGTAAAATTCAACCATTCACCATCAGATGACGATGTAAGCCATTGAACACTTTCAGCAGAAGGATTCGACTCCCTCACGAGACAAATTATATTCATACTACTACCTTCTATAATATCTCCTCTTTCACTTGCCTCGCCTGATATGACCGCTGTAAGTTCTGGTTTAACTGACGACAAAGCGTTATAGAGATATGGAATGGAAAAATACGCGTTTTTATCAACACGTCTTAAAATAAATCAATTATGAATCAAATAATATTAAAAAGAATAATGCTGACCTAAAAATAGGGTAGGAATATAGCAGCAAAATAATGTTTCATCATAGATTTGTCATATAAACAATTTCTAATAATATATGTAGAAGTGTTACTTTCATGTATATCTGGTACATTTAAATGATTGACATTAGCGAACATTTGTCAAATTACTTGGCTCATGGGGGAAGAATATATATATATATATTTAGGCTGCTACCTTCTATAACCTTATCTAAATTTCGCCTGATATGACCGGATAAGTTTAACTGAAGACAATCAATAAAATATATAATTTAGGTCTAGTTCCACCGTAAATAACAATTATATACTGTTTAGTCATTAATTGAACGAAAATAAACTTACATTCAACACTGAGATACACCGCCTTATTATCATTACGTGTTTCGTTGTTATATAATAAATTGGTAGCACGACAACTATACATGCCTTCATCACTTCTTTCAACATTAACAAGTATAAGATCAGCATCACTGCTAGTATTCTTCCAAGCTGTATTGTACCATTGTATTGTTGCTATCGGGTTAGCATCTACCGTACACTTTGCCGTGTATGTATTTCCCTCGATTACTCTGCCGTTACTGCTATCATTGATTGAAACAACTGGCCCATCTAGAAAGATTACACAGCGATAACTAGCTGATTATATAGCATAAAATACAGTAATTCTCGAATAAGAGACATTACACCTATAATGTTTGTGTCGTATTTGGAATTTACAGTTATTCATGAAACATAATTATCAACATAGTGTAAACGACATTGACCACACTTGCGGATGTGAGGCTCATATAAAATTGTTCCGTGACACCGTTGTGTGATTTCTTGCGTATGAATATATGACTTAATATAGTATGATTAGAATATGCCTTTATATGTTATTGCAGATTTAAGTAATGTATCATGAATCTTATATCTAATAGTCAAATAGTCAACAAGAACATATAAATATTATTATGATATGAAACAAAGCATAAACTATAATCTATAGCTTACATTGAATGGTAAGTTGTGTTTTATTTTCACATGCAGTGAGGTTCCAAAGAGAAGAGGCCAGTGTATCATGTTCAAGCTGACAAAAAAACTCAACACCGTTGTGTGATTTGTTAAGTCGTGTTGTCCATACATTGTTATCAATGTTACTTCGATGATATTCCATGTCGTCAATATACCAGACTAAATCACCAGGGGCATTGTTCGGTAATCCAACATTGCAATAAAAATATACCATTTCACCATCAATAGCTACAGTATTGCTTGTTGAACATCGCGTCTCGTCAGCTATAAATAACATTAAAACAAATCATTTCCAACCATCGTCACCATAGTTTATTATGAAATTTAGTTGATTTATTGTGATACAATATTTTTTAGACAAAAAAACGTACACTTACCCAGCACATACAATTTAGCACTCGAAGACTCCTGATTATGCTTACATTTGTAGTCAGCTTCGTCGTCCAAAGAAATGTTGTAGATGAATAAATCATAATCTAAATCGCCATCTGCTATGGCGTATTTGCCAATATATACCGCATCAGGTAATTTTCTTATTGCAATTATCGCTGTGTCTTTTTCCCAAATTACGAAGTGACTTGGACGCTCACTAAATCTGCATTTCATCGTAGTATTGTAGTTTAGAAGGGCGATAGTTTCTACAGGTGGGGTGCCTATGATATCAGTACACAGTACTTTATGCATTACCAGGCATACTGAAAACGGAAATATAGAAATTAATATTTAGTCTGTATTGCCATTCTCGACAGTAGGTGTTATTTCTGGCATAAATAAAACAGAAAACGATATGTGTAAATATTGTAAACACGTAGTCGTCGGTAGACCACTTTTGCAGCACCACTGACCCTACCACAGCAAAGTAGATATCAGCAAAAGTTACAGCACCATGGGTCAAAGGTTGTATAACATCTATTACAGCACTATAATGGTTATCGCCATCCCAACACGCACTCGGCGTCATAAATTTGTTGATAATAGGTCAACATTATATCATGACGTCGGGAAGTATACATTCAATATCGACACACTGTCAAATTATGACGTCTGTCTAACGTCACAAGATGTACTTGTTTTCACCTTCCATATACATTATCGATCATGTAATGGCATCGGACTAAATGCTACATTCACGTCTACTTGATGCTGAATTTATTCAAACTGAGTATATAAAGGTATACGTGAGAGAAGATAGTTAGTGTGTGTATAAAATAATTGAAATAAAACTATTAAGTGAACAACACTTAATCTGGTGGGCAAATCTTGTATTATTCCAACATTAGGAATTAGTTGAAGCTTGAAATGTAATCAACGTACAACGTACCAATGTCATTAAATCAACATCAACGTCCTATACTGTTAATGAAATTACATTTTGTGCCGACTATGTGTAAGTGCAGAGTGAACTATAGAGTACTTTTACACACGATTGGGACTAAATATATTTTTGTAAAGTTTTTTTTTATTGTGAAAAATAATCGCTCTCTATGTGGACTCAACCATGGTTCCCTCAAAGTGTTGCATGTCAGACAATGGATTTGTGATACGCTCACTAACCTTTAGCGTTGAAGGTGTCGACTATGAAAATGCTGAAAACATAGTTCGACTAAGATTAACTTATGACAAGGTCCATTATATCGACATTATTCAACAAATATTCAACAACATATCTGAATAGAGATGTTGTTGCACGATCGGAAGAAAGGTGTTGTTGCACGATCGAAAACAAATAAAGTTTACGTTTATATTTATCGACGTTATATTGAATATGAGACAAAATCGGAACCGATAATACAACTTGCACAAGAATAATAAACAGTCAATCAATGTTATGTAAATGTGAGGTTGGATACATGATTAATGCAGTGGAATAGAGTATGTATGTACGCTGTCTACAGAGTATATAGGGTAGTGCAACACATTACCATAACCATACCACCAACACCCCCACCCGCACTGAGCAGAGGATTGATGCTGTCTATATAGCTTACCTAGAATGAAAATAAGGGTCAAGATGCATCGTATGTACATCGTTACGTTTTCATGAACGGATGATTCGGATGATTCGGATGAATATACTAATTATCAGTCGGTTCAGTCTTCCGCCGCTATTTTACCAACCTACACGACGTGTGTTGTTTATATCATGAAGTTGACGTACGTTTATAGGCGGCGCTATTGTATTGCGTTGCATTCCCACCAAATGCTAAAATTATTACGACGTTAAAATTAAAGCGTACTCTCATGCGCTTGAGCTAATAATGCATTAAGCGGTCGATAATAGCAATTTACAGATGATTCCTCGAAAATTATTATTGTTAATTTGCTCTATGTATTATATTCATATTATTTTCGTGTCATTTTTGAATATCCCTATCCGTTTTTAATCAATTACATTCAATTCAACACGATGATACGATGTTCCAACCTCAAACACCCGACTATATAAATGACCATATCAACTTTTGTATGCTGTCAACCGTACATATCTATATAGACACATTCTCTATTGAGACTATATGCACCATATTTGTTAGAAAAATCGATGTATCGATTTATTGATTTTAGTAGCCACTCATACAATGGAGGCGGTGAACCGCTGCCTTTGGTCGTCAATTTATTTCATTTACAGCATAATTCTACACCTGTCGCACTGTCGTCTCAGAGTTATACTTTACAGCCGAGTGAGGGATTGACAGGGCCAAGTAGTTGAGTGTACCCTTTTTTATTGCTTGTTGAAATATATGGCCGCTGTTAGGTAATAACGAGATATTACATATACAACTTCGCCTACGCCTGCTGGTTTAGTTTGCGGTTGAGCATATTTGCCACTATCTTTCTCGAATGTAACTGTAGTATAAAGAATCTCTTTTCCATTACTCTGAGAACCCTATTATCATCGACATTTCTTTATGATCGGAGATAAATCTTCTACCGCAGCACTGAATTACCGTTATTTTTAGAACAAGAAAAAAAAAATAGTATATGTGTCAGTCTATGGAGAACAATACTAAAATAGTGTCTGGCCTAAACATATTACCTCTTTCAGGCTCACTTCATCAGACCTTGTTGGGATTTCGTCGGATGGTGGTCTTTTACCATTGCGCTCTGCAATGTCCTCAACTGCATTCGTTGCTGTCACAGATGTTTCTGAAAATAGTGTATTACTAATATCAAAATAGCTATAATACAGTGTGCTTTTCTAATACTGTAATATATGTAATACTTTTTCATAATATATCACATTTTCTCATAAATTGACGCCAACGGACACAAGTGACTACCGTTAGTTTTGTCTAAAGTTAACGAAGGATTGATGTCACTCTGTTGGTAGTCACGTGGGTGACGCGTATTTCCACATCCACAGACATGGACTAACAGCATGAGAAAACATTTCCTGAAATAATATTGAATATAAATAGATCATCGCGCACATATTATGCTGATGTTGTAGAAGTCGCTGTCTCCCAGATCACGAAATCGCCTAGTGTACACTCTGAGGAGTTTCTTCTCGGGCAACGCAAACACTGTTAACCATAATCTGATGTCAAACTATATGCATTTATTATCTGTACTGTTTTACTCAACACTGTAAAGATACGCACGATATGTATTCAATATAGATTATAATGACTCTCATTTAATTATCGCGACTGCTGCCACGTGTCTGTAAACTATGCCGTGTTTAGCGTCAAATAAATGTTCTATAATGTATTTTTAACGTATATTACCTGCAAGTGGGTTGTCAAAATACTCCTTTTCTACTACAGTATTCTCCGATGTAGAAAATCCAGAAATCAGCGCACTTAAAAAGTAAATATAACATATTATGTTAAATAACAATTAAATACTTAGTTTGAAATTTATTTGTATCAATGCCGGGCATTCGTATTAGAATTGCATATAGTGTATTTATACTTGGATGGTAAGATAATTTGATCTAGTCGATAATACAATGTGTGTGAATCTAGCGTCGAATATCAATATAAGTAATGGTTTACAATGATTTACTTACTTATTATTTGAAAGATCTGAAAATAAAAAAGAAGAATTTGTGAAATCCACAAACATCATGCAAGCCAAGCTCAGATGTTTATTAGAATGTATTTTGAATGATATGTAGTAATACTGAAGATCCGTGTAATGATATAAACAAACCTTTAGGCTTTGTTTTTCCGGTCCGCGAAATCAAGAAGCTTGGTACTGCAATTATAATTATGAGCACGACGGCACCAACAACTGTGATACTTATCTGCCAAGTTTGAATTCCGTCTGCTCCTCCTGTTTTGTTTAAATATAAACGATTATATTATTGTTATTTCATGTGTTTACACGAAACGTAGCTCGATCAATAAACCCATATTGCTTTCAATATTATGGCATGAA